CAAAACCTGCCTGCCGTGACTAGATGATGCTATAGGAACACTGTCCAATTACTCAGACTCTCACCTCTTCTTTTAAATCTACTTCCTCTGACCCAGTCCCCAGTTCCTGCTCAGACTCTTTATCAATTAAATCTTCATGAACAACATCTTTGCTTGCAATTACCCAAAAACGTCTGTGAAAGCAAAGTTAAATAAATCATTCCAAGGATAAATCAATTAAAATCAATCACTTGGTCTCTCTGAGATGGGAGGTTGTAAAATTAAGAAACAGGTGTCCATATCCAAACCTGCGCAGTAAGCGCTTAATTTCACTAGATGATTCAGACCAACAAGTGCGTGTTACAAGCTATGCGCATGGAAGAAAGGGTGCGCCTGATGTTTCACGCGCGTGTTACTCGCCTCCTCAGTGGTTGCCAGCTACACGGGCTTCCGCGTAATGTTACAACTCATGCGCACGGAACAAAGGGTGTGTCTGATGTTTCACGCGCGTGTTTCTCGCATCCTCGGCGGGTGCCAGTCACACGGGCTTCTGCGCAGTGTTACAAGTCAAGCGCACGGAAAACAGGGAGCGTGTGATGTTTTGCACGGGTTACTCGCATCCTCAGCGGTTAGCGGGTGCCAGCTTCACCCCATAGTACATTTCCGATACGTGATTATTTGCGTATCATTTTTTAACCTAGATAATCCATGTTCTTCCAAAAACAACTTGATAGATAGTGAAGGAAACATACGAAACTGTTCATGAATGTTGTACTTACTTTGAAGTATACACTGAACTGGTTACACAGCCTTCTTTCTTGGCTACAGCTCTAATGACAACAAATCCAGCTTGGGCAAGGTAAATTCCTTCCTTCTTATTGTAATGCTTTGAAAAGAAACGAAAATTACACGTTAGGCTCACACATTATCAAAAAAAGGACATTACTGATCAAATTTCTACAATATTAAACCTCCAAGTCCCTTGCAATGGATCTTACCGTGTACTGAAGAAAGTATTCCAGAAAATTCGACGAAGTCCCTGATGGACTTTGGCCGATATTTCAAGTCCACTTCTCCAAAATTAAAATTATGTTCCACCACCTCTCACAATACTTTTTAACTCGACAGTTTACAATACTAAGTCGCCAATAATTCTAAGCAAAAACTATAAGCAAACTGAGACGTAGTGTAGCCCTTACCATAAGTTGTGAATTGTACTCAGCCGGGTACGATCCATCCTTAGTGTAATATATATCTGCTTCCTCTGTTTCACACTCCAGGAACACTTGATAACCACTTTCAACCTTTAAAAAATAATAGCATACCTGTCAGAACTGATCAGTTCGTCACCAGCTTAATACAAGTGTTTCAATCTTTCCTGGAAACGACGGAGAAGATTTCAACTGCACTTACATCTCCTCCATTTTTTTCTACAGCAGGAATCCCAGGTTGTGCAACGTGCACCGCTAAATGCATGAAACAAAAAGTAGGATTAATAAAAGTAAGCTGGGGTTGCTCAATAACACCACTGATATTATAGCTTACTATATATATGTCATTCCAGCATATCTTTGGTATCTTGGTGACAAAGAGTAAATGATGTACACATGGACTAGCTTTATACACAAACTGATCTCACCCTTTTCCAGGACCTCCACTTTACACAAATACCCATCTGTTCCTTCTGATGATATGAAATATGTTCCAGATACGTCAAATGTGTGAAAGAATGTGCTGCAAGTTGTCTTGTGACCACTGTTAAAGGCAGACAGACCAACGACACGAGAGAGCGGCTGCTTAAAAAAAATTATAAAAAGAAATATATCAAGTAATATAAAATGTAAATGTCAGTCAAATAACATAATTATCGGTGTAATATATTAAGTCCATAAGTCCATGTTCAGAGCAAAACACCTTGACCGGTTTTAAACTAAAGATGCACGGTGTGGTCAGATAATAGAAAGTAACACTTTGTGATCTTGTACTGTCCAGTGTTCTATGCTTGTTATACAGGAAGGTGACAGGTAGTTTTCCTTCCACCAATGATTTCTACTATTTCACTTGAATTTAAAGTGAAATACTGTGGCTGTGACTTTTAAGATGAATGTAAAAATAATACAAAACAATAAATAAAAACTCAAATAGCAGGGAGGACAGGGTAAACCGCCAGTAAACGTCTGATATTGAAATCATGTCTCAACTGATTGAAAACATTTGACAATCTTCCTTAATCTATCATAGACGCCTGTGGGCAACTCTGTTGACGGTGCAACTAGTCGTCAAAGGATTCATACTCCTTCTGGGATTTCCAAACTCAGAGGTGATCTTCAGAAAACTTAAGAAATGTGAATGTCTCTAAAAATGAGAGCTTTACTGGGGAGATTGGGGGAGGGCATCACAGTCTCTTATTATATGTCATGGTATACCTCTTTAGCCTGGGGTGGTCTTACATGAAGAATGTTATGTTCTTCATCTCCTTGGTTCTCCCATGTCCAAAGAATACAGTGAGACTTGAGAATAAGAAAATAAATAATTGATTAAAAAATACAAAGTATTTTGAATAAGTGAAGAACTCAAAATAACTATATATATCTTATTAACCAAGCGCGAGGGCCGTACTAGGAGAATATCGGCCCAAGGTCTTGACAGTACGGACCGAGCGCAGCGAGGTCAGTACAAAAAAGACCGAGCGCCGATATTCTTCTGGTACGGTCCCGAGCAAGCTTGGTTAATAAGAGATTTATTATACGACTGAAGTTCAAAGGAATAAAGGCTGATAGTTTCGAAAGAAACTGTTTGGGGCTGCGTCGGTGGGGGTAACGAAATAAGTTGGATATATCAACAAAGTTGAAATGGTAAATTGGCCACCGTAACGATTACAAAAGCTGATGTTTCGAGCGTTAGCCCTTCGTCGGAGCGAATAGAGGAATCGTGGGTTGTGTGTGCTTTTAAAGGCAGAAAATGGAGCTACGTTATTGGTGGGAACATGGCAACGAGAAAAACAAGAATAAATTAGTAGAATGAAAAGCGTTTGTTGATCCCTGTGGGATTTAGACTGCCGGTTTGAAAGATGAGCTTTTGTTCAAGATTTTTACAGCTTTCCGTGCTACCTAAGTGTAAGGAAAGACCGCAGACTGCCATATGTTGCTTAGAATGATTAGGTAAATTAAAATGCCTAGCGCCTGGTTTCGATGTGTCCTTGTCATTCCTTTCCACGTCTCGAAGGTGTTCTCGGAATCGGTCACCTAGTCTTCTGCCTGTTTCGCCGATGTATATCTTTTTTCTTTGAAGTTCAAAGGGACACAAGTGCGGTATCATTCGGGACCATTCGGGACAGTGCCCGGTCCAACACTGAGAGAATATTGACCGGCAATAGAGCATTTTGATTGGTTGATTTTAGTTATTGGCCCTCTGACTTCCCGAGTCGTGTAATAAATGCAGTTTACATAACTAAATACTAAAGTCTAGCAGACGTTCTTGTTTATTTCCAATTGAAA